GGAATTTGTGTGGTGGCGAAAAAAGAAAGGCAGTATTCATGTCGTGAAAATCGTGTTGCCTGTAATAGTTTTCTTGTACTTCTAGTTTCAGTAGAATCAACTGGTGCACTACGACCTGATATCTTGGTAGGCGAGGCCATCAAGGTTTTAATGAACAAATGTCGACTTTTTCTTGCCGAACTGGACGCAACTTCGGATAGCTAGTGCAGTGTACGATGTCTAGAGTTTTGTATGATAATGACTGTTATTAAATAGAGCAAAAGAGCMCATATCGAAGTGACAAGTTCGACGTATTTGACTTGACGGATTCCTSAGTCATTCTGACAAAAACCTAACCAAACTGAAGGACAAGTAAACGATAAAAACCATAGATATTCTATAAAAAAAATTAACAACTAAACCCCTATTCTTAAATTGTCTACTATTAAATGGGAAGGAAACGTCTTAACTGAGCAATTGATCATCCAACCTTTCAATTATAACAAATCAATTTACCTAGTAACTTTTAAAAAATGCCAGTCAARSTAAWTGACTATAGCCATCTCACCAAATATCCCACAAATTTGACGAGCATCCTCATCAAGCAAGTCCTCTTATTKTTCTTCTCTTCGCTTTTCGATGCTCGCGTTCCTTCATCAGTCTTTTTTTCATTATTCGTCTTTTCAAAACTCTACAACTGTGAAATGGATCCGAGTTGTCTTGTGGTACTCTCGAGTCTTCTTCGCCAAATTCATTTTCATAATCTCCATAAAAGTCGTGTAATATTTCTTCCCAGTTATTGGGAACAGGAAACACAAAACCTTCAAAAGTCATTTTTTGAAGAGGAAACACGCCAGCTCTTTGTTCGGACGTCAATGTGTCCTCAGCGATGAACATGTCAATCATAAGCCCATCTTCCCACTTACAGTTATTTTCAAGACAGTACCGAGTACAGCTTAGAGTATCACGCAAACGTGGATTCCAAGGCGTCTTGTACAGACCAATCAATGGATGCCTCGTTACATTGGATTGACCGTTTGAGGGTTTCAAATGAGGATCTGTCTTGGAGTTCTGGAAAAAAATACCACTTGGGAACTCTTTTTTGCAGCATTTGAAAAGTTTGATGTATTCCTTAAGTGGCATTTGAATATCCGCGTCCTCGTCCCACGGTATAAACCCATGATGCCTTGCGGCTCCAAGTAATGTCCCGGATGTTATCCAGTATGTGATATTGTGTTCCCGAGCAATGATATCAAAGATTTTAAGCATTCGTGTCAGCACTAACTGTGAAGCTCTTAAATTTGTTTTAATTTTTCTACGAATATCAGGACAATAAAGTTTGTCTTTTTTGTTGCAGAAACCTCCTAATCCAGTGTACAAATCGGGGCACATTTCTCCATAGTCAAAACTTATTTCGCAAATCTTGTTTTGCGTCGTTTTCTCAGTTGTTTGCTGTGTGCTGATTGTCGTTGTTGGTCTGAAACTCGTTTCGCTCTCTTTGAATTTGATGAAGTTTTTCTGCTGAAAGTAAAGTCCAGTTAGTAGCACAACAGCGACCATTGCAGCCAAGGTTTTCATAGGCTTGTCAAAGAATCGCGAACAGAACCTCCAGCAACTGGTCATCTTTGTGATGCTTGATAATAAATGACTTGAAACGAGTCAATTTGAATATTTTTATACCCTGGGGAGCGATAAATAGGTTCAAAGATTACTAAAAGAAGGATTATATAAGTATGCAGCCTAATAAAATACCCCGAGGATCACTGGATCTCTTTAAAACCGCAAACACCGCTAACACGGGGCGCTCAAAAACTTGAATGTTTCTATGAAGGTAGACTTTAGCATGACAATGAGCTGACTGTGTTATTTATGCATCATTGATGGTTTGTAACCATTACCAGGTTAGCCAGGTAGTCACGGTAGTGGTTTTCCTTTGTTCTTAACAAAAAAACATTTATTTGTACAGGAAATGGTCATAAATCAAGAATACAGTGCTACGATTTCTTAAACATAATTGAATTATATACCCAATACTCCAATTTCAAATTCTCTCTTGTGCAAGCTTAGCTTCAATCAAGCATAAATTTTGATTTTCTTTGTARAGAGAGTGTTTGCATTACAATAGGATCTCTGCTGAATAAAAGAATATATTACATGCTTTTGAGGTTAAGATTGCACAAACAAGATCTCGAAATTGGAGTATTGAAGCGTTGTCGTGTCGCAAAAAAATTGACATCGAAGAAGATTTTAAGTACACAGGAACTCCAATCATATGTTGCATATAACATAGCATTGCTCGTATAGAAGTTCATTAAATTGAGTTTTACCTATAGGCAATCTTTTGGCTCTGAAGTCAACTGTTATACTCATAAAATGTGCTTTCCCATGCTGCCTTTCGGTCTGAGCGTTCATGATGTAACACATTTTGGAACTCGACGTTTTTCAATTATGTTTATAATATGAAGATTGAGTATTTAAAGAGATTGTGTATAAATTTTTACAAACTCACCTTTCAATGTTTGGTTTTCAAGCATACGATATACTACTCTCCGCGTGATGTAGGTCCTCGTATGTGTACTGGTTGATTAAACAAAAATGAGCCTTTTTAATACTTTTTTGACTTTTGTTACTGTACTATTGCAGTAATACGCTCCTCCTAACTTGAACGAAAATGAAAATCGAAAAAGTGGCCCAAAAATAGAAAAAACAACAACAAAAAACGGAGCAGTCGCTGATTCACTCGGTGTTTGTTTCATTTGTCATACGTAAAGTACGTGCAGTTTTTTAAGGGAATTGCAGTCGTTATTACCATTTGAAACAGTTTTTAAATTGTATTCCAAACTAAACACACATTGCAGTTGTCAAGGAGACGCTAGTCGATCACAAAAGGGCACTTGTATCAACATTGCAACGAAACGCGGCCTGTACCGGACCCACTCACTCCGGTTGTGATTTTGTTTTTTTCAGGTTTTATTATTTCTTTCTCTTTGATCACGGGATCCAAAGAAAGTCTTTTTGTGGAGAAACTATTATCTTACGTTTTACAATAAGGCAACTGTATCAATATTGAAAGAACACGGACTATGCCACGTAATATGTCGACGTTGAATTTATCATGTTTCAGAATAAGGTACTTAAAAGATGGCTGGCTTTTTACTTACTGTGTTGGACGCTGTCTTTTGCGCTTGCTCGAGTGAAAAACCTATGGACCCTATGCCTTTTAATTCTAAATAAAGGTTTGGGCGTGGTCATCTCTACTCAGAAACAAATTAACTATAGTAGGGATCACCAGAAAGGTAGTTGAGGAACTGGAAACGGTCATTAACAGTGAAAAGTGCTTTTTTTATTTCGTTATTTAAGTTAAATACAGATGTCATGTAATAAGCTGTGCGTTGCTAACACCCTTGCATTAAGATCTATCTCAACACTCTGACCATAGTTACTATGCTGTGACGGACTGAGCCTTGGAAAAACAATTGTGTTATAAAGTGTATGAATGCTGTTGTTTTATTTAATACATACTCGGTGTTTAGTGCAGTCATAAAAATATCAGCAACTCCGTCTTAACTATCCCCTGTTTGTGGTTGGTGAACAACTTGCCAAGATGATCAACTATTTATCTATAGCATCATGGTCACACAGTAAGACCATTACGGGGAGAGGGTAACCAGAGCAGTGATGATCAGCACGGCAATAGAGGGAACTATTGCGGTTCCTGTAGTTGTTGGAGGTTTTGCTGTTGTTGTTTGAGTTGTGATCTCTTTACCTGTATACATATCATATCCCACCGTAGTGTGACCTCGTCCCATGCTTGCTTTGTTTCCATGTTGCTGGAAGATTTTGTTTGAAACTGCATCTTTATCTCCTCTTGCCCATGCAAAGTAAACGGCTTTGCCTTTCTGTTGGGGTAAAGAACATCATGTTATTAGTGACGTAGCGGGATTCCTGTCATCATGTTTCCATGGAGACTCATTCACGGTTTCCCGCGTCATTTTAGAACAATGTAACCATATCTTATGCCGGAGCGAGACGACCAGCAGATTGCAGTGTCATGGAGTTCCCGTCGCGCTTCGATTCAAAGCGGTTAAGTTACCTCTCAAGATGGCGGCCGCGTAGAGAACTCATTATCACAAGACTAGACAGGCGAATTAACTGCCATAATGTCTACACTGATCACGTAATCAGAGCAAGAATGTATGATTTTGATATAGCCGCTAAAAACTGCTAGTAGGGGTAGCAATAATTACTATGATAATAATTTGTTTTGAGCAATTGTTAACGCGGTGTTGGTTCGCCAAATCACCTCAATCTTTATGTCCTGTGAAGTATCACCAGTATCAGCTAAACGGCTGAATTCAAGGGTAGTATTACCGTCCATCTCCATAGCGTTCTTCAATGCCACGTTCTGTTTGTTATCGTAACTTGGTATCGCTGTGGTTGTTGACCAGTAGTCCTGTATAGATAGATAGGTTATAAGCTGGCATGATAATCTATGCAATGACTGCATTTYAATTTTTGCCGTTTGAGGTCTTATATAATCGAGTTAGCGTTTACACCTGCTATCGTCCAACACGTACTGCCCTGAATGCTTTCCATGACCAGTCATTTCATTTTCTACTAATTTCCTTTTTGTTGAAAAATTCATGCAGTTTTCAAAATGTCCCTCCCCTCTCCTTCCCCGTCGAAAAATGAACGAGAGCTACCACTTCATACCTTGCATACCTCATTTTAACTTTGCCGAAACTAAATACTTTTATCAAGCTAAGATCAGAACATGAGATTCTGCACGATTCTAATTCAAACTTTGCTACAATTATGCATTTTCATGCGGTGAAAATGTAGATACCACATGACAACAATTTAAAATACTCAAAATGTCAACATTACTTGTTGAATACTTTGTGATTTTTATATCTTACACCTATGTACGTTTCGTTGGTATTAACGCCCTTAACACCACCAAGGATTATGTCGTAGTTTTTCATTCCTTCGGCGCCTTTTTCGTGTGTCATTGCTAAGGCAACCCAGCCTGTGGTTTTGGCCACCACCTTGAAATAAAACATTTTATTTGTGGCGTTGTAGCTGTAGTACAGGTTAAATATACCATCCTTTAACACCAAGTGACGATCATACGATCTGCATTCGGCATGAAGAACAAGAACAGCCAGAATACCGAGAATTAAAGCCAAATTCATGTTTGCTTTACGAACGAATGTTCATAACCAGCGCGCGTAAGGTGATCAATCGGTTGAATGTGGAATTCTAGATGTCAACATCGTCTATGAATGCAAATGACGCATGAAATATGGGATCGCGATTGGCTACTTCAGTTCAACCGTAGTAGAAATGTCTCCTTTTCAAGATTTAAGATGGTCATATTGGACGATAAAAACAAGTAGACACGAATAAAGATAAATAGTCTTAAAAGATGGTCATAATCAACGATAAGTGCACAAGAATGAATTAATATTTTGTTAAAACTATAATTTAGGCCGCCTTTTAATAACTGAAACATTTTATTGAAGCTTTTTAATAATTTTGGAGTTCAATTCCGCAGCGTAAACTTTGAAGGATAGTGGTATTAGGAATGTTGAACATTAATGAATTGAATTAAAAAAATAACATATATGTCAGTTAAAAAACCGCGTTCACGCTGATGCGTTTTTACAAATATTTCTAGTGTTTTACTATATGAAACAGATAAAATCTACTTGTATAGTACTTTAGATCATTTTAGTCAGCAGGTTTTCAGATCAAGCATCATTCTTTCATTAGTCCATCTTTGCATGACGAAAATCATCATTAGGTCCTAAAGTGAACATCAACAACAACAACAAAAAGGTAGGGGGAGGGGGGGGGGTAGCATTCAGTTGATGCGAAGATCGCGGTATAACTTAATCAGTATAAGTTAAAGGGTGCATAGAGGTACATTCTTGTTGAATTAAACATCAAATGAAGCTGATTAAAGCTTGAATAAGATAGCGTGTTTTTAGTCCGTAGAGTTTTCAATATCACCTCAACTGTCACGCAACCAATCACTAGGCCATACTTCGGCAAAATAAAAAAAGCCTTGGACCAAAATATCGCTTAACGTTATTAAGTTCTTTTCCACCTTTTATGACTGCGGTGACATAGTACATAGAAAGAACACGCTGACTAGACTTAGTATGAAATAATTACTTAATGTACTCAAAAATATTGAGCTATTACGTGAAAACATCACTTTATGGCAAGCATGGTCAAGTGTATTTTCAAGATAATTCTATCAGTATTTATGAGCTTATTACAATGCAACTATAGAACATCGAAGTGAAGAAAATTTGTTATAAACGAGCAAAATGACGTTCAGCAAAGTGCCCACAACCTGCGCGATAAATTATGTGTTTTCAAGGCTATCCATACAGCTGTGCATTAAAATATGTTTTTGTTAATGGTCAAGCCTCATTTGCAGGTAAAATGGTCAAAGTGAAACACTTCTAATGCATAAATTCTAGCTGCCTCATTCATCACACTTGAGGCTAAAAATGAACGATTTTATATACATTGTGCTTTGAGGCGTCCAAAAAGGTCTCTTTGTATTGGCTGTTATTGATTGACAGCTCTTGTATTGGTACTTGATTGTTAATAGGGCAGGAGTGAACACTCCAAGTAATGAATTTATAAGCAAAACATAATGATGTTAGTACAATTCAAAGTTTGATTGACTGCAGACCTCACTCCCTTTGATACCGATGACGGTTCTTAGACATCACTAAGCCATCTATGAGACCTATATGGGCACTTCCAATAATGGATGTGACAGGCCACTTGCAAAGCAACGAGTGGGAATATTCCTGATTGACAGACAGTAGAATCTTGCTTAGTAATGGACATTCTAAGCGAACAGCGCTATCACAGCGTCTATAGATCTGTGAATATTCCAAATTGTGTTTGCATCAATACATGCAACTAAAAAGCGGAGGTTCACGCGGATTGATTTTCAGACACTCTTTTCAAGTTCGACAGCAGTCTATGAGATCAGCGGACATTCCCAGTAATGGATGTAACAGTACATATCACCAGCGGGTGTAAATAAGGTTGATTGTCCTTTGCAGTGACATTTGTAAGTCAAGTAGGGACCTAGAATTGATGCTGTCAGAATATATTGGCTGGCTCCATCAGTTGAACATGCAACACCAAGGATTTTCTTGTCCTGTGAAGGAACAGAGCTCAATTAGTAACAAGATCGATTCGTTGAGACATAGTTCCAAGAGGAGCAAGGGTGCACATGGCATGGACAAATCTAGGATGAGGTCTACGATAGGAGGTCGAGGGAAGTGAAGCCATTTGCGAATGATTTGCACGAATTTAACGTTTTGAAAGAGAAGTCTGATAGCTCAACGTGCCGAGAATCGAATAAGAAATAATATGGTTCATCATTAAATTGATGAGAAATTCAACAAGAAACATTATGAATTCTTCATGAAGCCATCTTTTCTTCGTAATAATAAAAACAAAAACTTTTTTTTCAAACACACGAACAAATTTCCTTGAATAAAAACTCACCACATCTTGTGTAACTGAAACATCGGTATCTGCATGGTTCCCTGTCTTTGATCMTTTACTCTTTTTCTTTTTATATAAACATAAAGTCATATTTCCACTGCCTTGCTTACCAGGGGGACCGCGKAGGCCCTGTGAACCAGGAAGACCATGAGAACCATTTCGCCCAGAAGGACCATGGGGTCCAGGCGGTCCAGGCAGTCCTGGTGAACCCGGCCGGCGATAAGAAGCATTTAAACTTGACTTTTCCAACAATGCAGTAATCTTTGTCAACATTTTGAAAAAAGTAAAATATCACATCAAAGAAGATCAGATCAATAGTCTGCATTCACGGTTTCTTTATGGCGTTTGGAACTGCGAGAGACTATTGTGTTTATATTTTTTTTATCAGTGTCAATATACTTTGTTACCTTTGCTAACTGTCTTTGTGTTTCGTTCAGAGAGGACCACAATTCCTTCAACTTTTTATCTTTCTAAACATTTGAAATTAAGAAATGTCTGTGCCTGGCATCTTTTATATCTTTGCATACAAAAACACATACAAAATGACGATATCATCTTTTCTCAGTAAAACTTGAAATTGCTCGAAAGCAACTACATTTTGAAGTAAAAATCGTTTAAGATAATCGTTTAAGTAATCTTTTAAAATATAATTATTTGTTACATACCTCTGCCATAGTCTGATCAGCTATAATTGACATGTAAAATACATAAATAGGTATAAGACACAATCACTACATAGTTTGGCTATGATGTCTTATTTCTATCAGAAAAGCGTATTGGGATTCCTTGGTCACCTTGGCGGATGATATACTACTTACTGATGACATTACGTGGCTGTGTGAGCATGCCGCGTCGTAAGCCATCAAAAAGTATCACCTCTGAAAAACTTGCATTATCAATGTTTTTCTACGTACGACCTCCATTTAGGGAGGAAATAAAGATTTTTCAAATTAATAATGTATATAGATGCTTTAGCTTTGGTTATATTTAAGAAATTATTCTTGATTCAACTTACCTTTTGACGAACATGCACAAGTATCAAGCATTCCCATGACGATGAGAATGACAAGTGTAAGAGTTCCAAGTAAAATCACTGTTACTAAGTACAGTAATGCTGTATTAAAGTGAACACAACATCTTTTCTCTTGTTTGGAGCGCAACAATTTCTCGGAAGGGAATTCCTTTAAACCATTGCTTAGAGAGGAATTTGTTTTCTCTGTATTCTGTAAAAGTCTTCCATTATCAGTTTGTGTTGGACTGATCTCACTCAAAGACAATGCTGAATCATAGGAATGAAGAGGATTTTCAAAATCAGTGACAATTCCAGGAGGGTTGACAGGGTTTGATTTGGGTTTGACTTGGATCTTCTTGGTTCTAGACGCCATTTTGTGTCTTATCGCTGAATTCTGCAATGCTGTGACAACCTTTTTGACATCTTTGGTTTCCTTGTTAGCTGTATCTGGATTTTCAATTAAGAAATAAGATCCTATGTTATCATACCTTTCAAATGCTCTTGACATACTTCTAGTGTGTGTTTACCTGAAGTGTTTTATAAAGCAAAGGTATTCATTCTTCGTCGTGGCCTTTTCGCCCTTAATACCTTTCCTTTTATCAGCAGTTAAATACGGAGAACTGATAACTGCTCTGCTGTCAATTCATGGAGTCAATTTAAACCACGGTATAGAGCTTTTTAATGATTGTTGATGAGCATCTTTGATAACCACTGACACTATCTAGCAAAGTTCCATTTCAAAGAGCTTCTAAAAAAGTTATGGGCGTTTTAAATCGTGCAGACATTGTTTGTTTTTCGTGACTATCATCAATTACACTAAACACAATATTGATTCATTTATGATTTGCAGTCTGTACAAGTATTTGCAGTTAATTAGTAGCAAAGGCAACACCGATCCAAGACGACACCGCCGTCAGTTTTGACTAACGCAAACACAATGGCATTAGCTCAATTCTAAGGATTGCATATGCGAATTTTTCTTGAGCACTGACATTTTTGATGAACCATTTTTCGGCGCACTGAATGTCACATTCATAATGAGTTTCAATACATATTTACCTAATTCTCTGGATCTTCCTTGTTAGTAAGTCAATAAACCACTTCAGTTTGGCTTGAATTATAAGAACCTTTGGCTCATTGTGCCTAGGGTCTGTGGCGAATCATTACATCGCTAGGAGTCGTACCACATATGTAAAACATTCTGACTGTTGACTGGGATGCCTGTGACCCATAATGCATCTATTAGTTTACAAAATACTTCTCGCTCGTGGCATGGTATACTTATTACTCGTGGTCCTTTCTGGGAATCTCCAAATGTGTTTATAGATCTTCTTCCAGATCCTCCAGTTATGAGTGATCCTTTTTGTGATCCCGATCCCAATGCCAAAATACTCATCTCTTTTGTCGCGCATGCGGAAGTAGAGATAGCCCTCATTGAACTAGCTTATTATGCACACGGTTTCCAGAAGAACAGTTTATGCTTGGAGAAATGTATGACGAACGATTCAACATCGAACTCCGCGCATTATTCCTGATTAGGAGAAACAAGACAAAACTTTTTGTTCGAAGTAACTTTTAATGTTAATATTCTTATTTAGGTCGAAGCCAATGCCCTTATCATCAGACATGACATAAACCAAAGTTGCCAAAAAGATAAACTGTAATTACAGAAATTGGTGTAAATTCAAATTAGATATTTCCTGATCCCATTTCATTATTTATTTACATATATACAAGCGGTTGTTGTTGTTTTTTTTTTTCGTACGCTCTCACCGCGCTCGTCATTGTACTAACTAGTCAGCGGACATTCCCAATAATGAATATAGCAATATATTTTGGGGTTTTTGCTTTTGTCTGTTCCAAAATAATCTGACTCCCCTGCACATTGACATGAAAAATTCAGCTGGCCGGATGGGCGAGTCCTCACCACGAGAATATACTCTTTGGCAATGTTACTTGAGCAAACAGTTCCCAACACGCGACTATTCTGTTGAAACGACAAGAAAGAGAAAGAATCAGTCAAATGGCCATTCAATCAATCAACTGGTCAGTCAGTCATTCAATCTATCAACTGGTCAGTCAGTCATTCAATCAATCAACTGGTCAGTCAGTCATTTGCACATTAATAAGGTTCAGAAGTCAAATAAGTCAATAGCAGTTATCAACATGGATAACCGGATAAAAATTCTTATAGAAAGACTTACTGTGGGTTCATCAAGAAAGACGTTGGATTTAGTTCCACGATTACCACCTGAGCTAATCTTCATTTTGTATGCACATAAACTAAAGTTGCCGGCGCCCGTTTTTCCACGAAGTCCTGGTGGTCCTTTGGCTCCGGGTGAACCTTGAAGACCTTGTGGTCCCTGTAGCCCTGTAGGTCCAACACTTCCAGGTGGCCCAATAAGACCAGTGGTGCCATTGTGCCCTCGAGGACCAGGAGGTCCCCTTGCTCCTTGAAGACCTCTAGTACCCTTTATTCCTTGAGGTCCCTGGGGTCCTTTTGGACCACGAGTACCGTTCAGTCCTTTTGGTCCAATTGGACCCTTTGATCCAGTATTTCCAGGCATTCCAGGTGGGCCAATGGTTCCATTGTGACCACGTAATCCAATGGGACCCTGAGGACCTGGTGACCCTCGTGATCCATTCATTCCACGAGGTCCTGTCGGACCAGGAACAAGGGTGATATTGTTGATCTGGAAATCATGACAAATGATTGATATTAAGGAAAGTATATGATACACGGTCGAACGTTTTATATTGTGTGTTTGTAGTACAAACCTTGAGTTTTAGTTGATTCAGCTCGTCAAGAGTGTCGTTATATAATGTACGTAAGCGTGATAATTCAGATTCCCTTGGATCCACCTGAAGATAACGATAGAAATCATCATTGAATGATCATTAATGGAACTGATTTAATGAATGGATGATAAGTGGAAGAATAATCGAATGAAAAAGGGATGGATGAATATGTCGTTCACAATGTATCATACCAAGGGAGTGTCACTGGGCGTAACAGTTATTTCTGTCATTCTACTTGGAGCAGTCGGTACGTGCTCTGTTGTCACTTTATGGAGTTCTTCCATCGTCTTGTTAAGGAGAGACCATATCTTTTGAACGTCGTTATTTTGAATTTCCTAAAAATATCAATTTTAAGTCTTGCTGTATGCAAAGCAAAACAGAAAACCTCAACCCTCAGATTATATAAACCTTCCTAAAGAAGACCCTCGCCCCTTCCCTAAGAAGATCATGGCGACGTCTTACCATCATAGTCGTCAAATGTGAGACATTTTTATCCATTTTGTTCATTTCTTGGACACGTCGTTGAAATTCGGTCTGCGCTGCACCTGAAACAAACAAACGCAATAGTTTATAAAAGAGGTTTATTGCCTCGACACCTTGCGACATGTACAAAGCTGAAACCTAAACGTATTTGATAGGTCATTTTTTTGGTTACTCCGTTACGGAGTAATCCACTATGTCGTCGCGATGTAATCAAGCAAGAAATCTGTAACACCCGACTTATACGCGACTCTTTTCCGAAATCGGTTCGATCATTTCCGAAATCGGTTCGATCATTTCACGATCGACGTCGCAGCGGAAAGGCCGAATGTCTCATGGGATATGTCTCGTCGAGTTTTGGCGTTACCACATGCGCTCCAACAGCGACTTTAATCTTGAATTTCCTTTCATCCTCTGAACCCTCGCTATTAGAGTGTTTCCAACGATTAAATCCTCTGCAACTTTCTCTCTTCCTTCTCTTTCTATTACCTTCCATTTCTTTTAATTTTCCTTTCTTTTAACTCTTTCATGTTTTTTATGCATTATTTGTACAATCAACTTCCGCCTTGCGGACGCCCCGATAATACGGACTACAGCGGGTACTCAATCCCGAAGGTACCCGTTGTTAAAAGTGTCTGTGTGGTCCTACATATTTCATATCACACCATATGACGTGCAACATAACTTATCTTTCTATGACACTACTTAACTCTCTCAATATGAACCCCTACCGTCCACCTCTCGACGTGGGTTTCCTGCCGGATTAAAAACTCGCCGGAAATCACTGACATCCATTCCACATGACATCCTGCTCACGGTAAGCTTTTTATCATGGTATTTAATATTCCCTAGGGGGTAGTACTGCGGAATATTGGAACTTCTATTATCAATTTTACAGATTTGTCTCGAGGTAATTATATTTCTTCATCAAAGTTGAAATACCAATAATAGTTGAGATCTTGTAATACTGGTACTGGGCAATAATTAGTGAAATTGACTGGGTTAAAATTAACAGTCACATGATTATAATTACTTGTAATTAACCCGTGATATTATATTTAGTCTTATAAATATAAGAATTTTAAAGAGCATTATCAGTGAATAGTCATATAGATTGAGCGCCTTTTTACAGAAATTCTTCCCTCCTATGAGCAGACACTAAGGAATGAAATCCATGCATGCCCTTGAGATGTCCCTTTCCCGTGAAAGACGATCCGATGTCTGCTCTCCGCCAATAATTGCTTTTTAATTAAACGAACAGCAGTAAAAATTTCCAAGAAGAATCTCATTGGGACATTAAAACCACGTTAGTTTTTAGCGCGAAAAGCAATAGTGTTTGTAAGGCAGATGTCGAGTAAAGGAAACAGAGAAATGTCATAAATTTGACAACATGCACAATTTACTATGTTATATATACAGTACATATAGAGATGTCTCACTGCAATCTAATGCCTTATAAACGATGTATTCAAAATAAAATTATTTGATGCCGCTATAAACAAATTAAACAAATTCACTCGCAAATATTAAGAGAAATAGATAAAACCAACACTAAGGTGATAACACTCGCGGGGTTCACTAGGAAGACGAAGGGGGATGGAGGTGGGGGACGATTGTGGTTTATGACTCCCGCGTTACCGCAAAAAATGTTTTGAAATGCCGCAAAACCGCAGTGAAATAACACAAATAACTCCCTCCGATAAAAATTAAATCAGTGGTCAATCAAACTCTCAGTTCGAAAAATTCACCTTTGTATTACAATTTAATGGTTATCTGGTTGGTTCTATATGTTTTTCGGGTCTACCCTCGCAAAAAGTTTTGCACTCTTTCATTGTCGTATCACACAGATCTCACCAGATGACCGTAACTCACGGCTTTTCCGCAATTCCTCGAATTCAGTAAATGGTAAATATCGCGTACCGTAGGGATACAAATACCGTAGGGATACAAATCCCGTATTAACAATACAAAACAACGATACAACGGTGAGATTTTCCTAATTTTCCCGCGCTATGCCGCATAATATTATAATCAATCCCATAAAACCAAATTTTCATCATGAGTTTGTAACCGGCCCTTTAATCAGTTCCGGTAAAAGTAATTCTTGTCTTGATCTCCGTCATCCAGTTGTTGAAAATGCCAATGAAGTGTCAGTATTTTCTTAAGGAAAGATAATATACGCAGGATGTTTAAAGAACCTCAGCGAACGATTTCTACAGGTTTAATGCCTGTTTCCTGTACCCCCCGTGTTACAATTTGATTATCGGTACACTTAGTTGCGAAGAGATTCTGCTTTGTAAGTCTACCACATATGAGAGCATACATTCTAATTAGAGACAACTTAACAGCTGGACTAGTATTTCACTATACGTTCGGAGATTTAGCCTGAGACCAGCTCTAAGATCCCTTTTCCGGGCCACATTCCAAGTGGTCAAGTGTCTGCATCCAGATTTGGGATGCTTGAACACAAAAAGGCTACTAAGACAGGTGGACATCATGGAAGCCGATAGTAAACACGGTTTTCTTGTCTTTAGTACTGTTCCTATTAATAGGGATCTGAAACGCGACCTGCATTGTTCCTAATAATAGTTTTGCAAAAGTACACAATGTCGTATTTGAGAAAGAAAAGTAAACATTTTGTCACGATTTGTATCAATTTTGATTTCGTGAATTGCGGCGACGGAGTGCGCTTCCTCCCAGCACTCCATCCGGCAGGTTGCAGAACCGCCCTTTTGCCGCCGAAATAAATGAACTGTTCATTAAACGATAATAAGCAGGTACAACTTGGTATCCATTGACTTCGTTGCGTGTAATCTGGTTATCTATTCTATCAATATTAATATTCGCTCTAACATAACGTACAAAGCGCAGTAAACCTGTTACATTTTTAATTAACAGCAGATAAATTCCATTTCGTCACTCAGTGACTCACGCAGTAGTAAAGTTAACCATACCTTGATTAGTCGAACAAGAGCATTGTCTTGATGCCACTCCACCCACAAATCCAAATAGCATGAGAATAGTCAAAATAAACGCACCAATAGATACTATGCAAACCATTCCAATCAATAGGCATAGTTTCTTGTTCAGGGTGAGTTTCTCTTGGTATGAATCACTGCAGTCGTCGTCAGGTAGATTCCATCTACAATCACTACTCACTGGAGAAGAAGACGTCCTCTTCTCCTGGTTTGGTATAATAAATAAATCAGGGATGTGCGTTTGATGAAGTTTGTCATCGTCTTCTTTGATAGATTCTAGCGTTGCTCTCGGTCTAAGAGGCCGTGTCATTTCATAGGTATTTTCGTTTGTCAGTATTATAGTTTCACTGCTTGCCATAATGTTGGCTTGTTGTCGTATCGTGGTTTGTTCTGGACTGACTCGGTTCATCCCACTGGTTATATATCGACTCATGCGTGTGGAGCTGATCCGAACACCGTCACAACCATGAACTAACTTGCTACAGACCCCAGGGGTTGGTTGTTAGAATGGCGGCAAGAATGGCTGAAATCATAGTAAAAGTTCACGTTTGTTTACAAACATCGGAAACGCTCTCAGTAGTATCACGTGCATGACGTCACTGACCTTTACCTTGCAAGGCCTTACTGTCGTAGGTTATAGAGAAGGCTTAGACGGTCTATTTACCCTTAATAAACCCTTTAAGCAGTTTATAGAAGTAAACCTTGAAGGCTGGTTAGTTTTTTTATGAAACATTCTCCAAAAGATGGAGTCGGAAAGACATTACCATTCCCGGAATCTACAAAACCTTAGTCACTCTGACACAGTGTCTGCTGTGTATCCGCGTTTCCCTTGGCGGGCCGGTCACCAGGGCGGGGGCTACTTAGAAGAACTTCAACTAGTTATGATCCCGTACATTTGGCCAAAACTAAAAACACTTTTAGAAATATCTGTATTGGCCTTCTTTCATGTTATAGCAAATTTCAGAGTATCAGTCTTAGGCAAAATATGTCATTGAAAACTGAGAATGTTGATAAGAAATATCTAAAATATTTGTGGCGAGAAAGGCAAGAATGCTTCGGAAATTCTTCTGTTGATATTTGCTTTTTATAAACCAACACTAGACTAACAGTCGTCATTTAAACTAAAAATAAGATTCGAAATGATACATTTAACTTACAGCCAATGAGTCAATGCAATGGTATGAGAAGTAGTTTATATTCCATTTTTTTAGTATGCCATTTTTTAGCCTTCATTTTAGAAGATGTCAAAAAACTTTCATCGTGCTTTCATCCCTCCTTTGACGCACAGAAAACAAAAGACTTGGTTGAGGAAAACTAGTTTCGTCTTTACCTAGACCTCTTCAATTCCTTTACAACATTTTTTAGACTTGAAACCTTTTTTTCTGACAATCAGCTATATATATATCAAGTCATGTTTAACTGTTAGTGAAATAGTACTTTTATGATTAAACATTTCCTGGCAGTAAAGTGAAGTAATCATAGAAATCAGTTGTAAATCTCCCTTCATCGCTGTGATCGTCTGATATGATGTCATTCTAGAGTCTTTTACAGTGGGGCATCGTTTGCCGTGATTTTGGTATGCAAACCATTCGCTATATTAATTACCCAATCAATGTTATAATTATAAAGGGTTAAATATTTGCTCAAGTAACAATTCACTACTAAAGCATCTAATTAAACCCTTATGTACTTATCCAGCTATGCCAGAAGAAAATAGCGCCAAGGCAGACAGGAATTCGATCAGTCTCGAGTATTTCATAACTTTTGAATATTTTTATTGAAATCACCACATAGGGAATAAAAGTTTTTTTTACTCTAGTATGATAAAAGAATGCCTGTTTATCATAGTTTATTCTTTACTCAGAACATTATATTATTATTAATTCTTAAATGAAGTAAGAAAAGGACAATTCATTAAGTGGACGCGAGAAAGTAATGGATACTTATTTGGTTTGAAAAACAAAACAAAACGAACCTTCGTGTCATTTTCCTGGCTACTCAGTGGATCCAGAAAATCCACTCTAGGTTTCGTTTGGTACTAGACTGAGCACTGTGATACCAATTATACGATGCGTGATCAAAGTCAAGTGATCAAAGTTCAACTGGAATATGAAAAAAATGGAAACTTACCGAAAAACAAGCAATAGTTGTCAATTTTCTGAAACGAGGGTCTCGTCTCATCCACCAACAAAAAGAACACTTATTTTGGGGAGAATCTCAGAGATTTTGCTTCTGAATGATTGGCGATTGAGATTTAATATATGGGATTTTCAGTTTGATGTTAACGTGATTATCCACTGTAATTAGTACCAATGGAGGCGTGTAGTTGAGCGTGCCCCAAACCACTATGGTCGCCTGATCATGAGTGGCCATGTTGGACGGACAAAGTCACAGCTACAAGAGACGGACAAATGGAAAGTTAAAAGGCAAGAATTTAGAAAGAATTATCCATTTATTTTCATTATGTTAATGTGTTTACATTGACGTTTCTTGATAATGAAAGTTTCTTTATTTTTATCCCATTTCCGTCCATTCACGTGTAATATGACAATTTCCTCAACCCTCACCTTGAATGTTAAAAAAAAGACCAAAAACGTGAAAATGAAGCAGCAATTACTCCTCATGATATCGTTTCTATAACTTTTTTAGCTTTTTTATAGGAATCACTCATGGAATGGAAGGTATCTATCATTTTAACTGCAATTTAAAATGACTTGGCATTGAGAAGACCTAGGGAAAGTCCAAAGTCCAGCAATAATTTCTTCCATAACACGTGTGATCTGTCACAACATCTCATTTTGAGTCAAGTCGCCAACGATAAACCATCTCGTCATGGACTTTAATGGTAAGATTTCATTAATAATGCTGCAAATATCAAGCATTCATTACCACTATGTTTCGATATTTAGAGAATTGAAGAATATTGTTTGTGATAATTTGTTTTTCGATTCTGGTTCGTATTGTCCAGAGTTCAAATGTGCTTTGTATGTGATTGTTAGCATACAATATTTCTGCTTTGACAACCTTCTTTTCCTCCATTCTGATATCAAATTATTATTTCCTCAAATTGCCGATTCATTTAGATCTCTCAACAACTCATTTCTCGAATTATTCTATCGTTTTATGGGATTCATAAGACGCTTCCAGGGAAGATGCATTTCTTTAAAGTAAATACGTTATTTTGTTGGTTATTTTTAAATATGAATTTGAATTTGCTTGCCTATTATTTGAAAACCTATCGAAACATCGACAGAAATCGTACGATTTTCATATTTAGTGGACTTTGACCAGTGCTCATGCCCTGCGGGGAAACTAACTGCTGTTCAATTTGCTGTCAAAACTGAAAGTATTATTTGTTTGAAAATCACTTGTGTGGCGCATAAACAGAAGAAAACTCAATAGAATTAGAAAACTCACTAAAATACACTAAACAATAAAATGCAGGATTTTACTGAAAACGATGAATTGTTCAGTAGAGACAAAGTTTTTCAAATCCCGTGAGTTATGCCTTCCTAAAGCTGCGCACTTTGTAGTCTGTGTCTCAGAATTCTACATCCCCACGGGTCATTAATACCTCAAATAACAGAATAGTCTACTGTTTGATGATGATTTTAATTTGAACGTCAGTTTTCTACTGGTTCTTAAAGGTCATCAGTTTCGTCTACTTGAAGCTTAGTTTTTTTACGTTGATAATTGCTTTCGTTCCTTAAGGAGTTTCCGTCCGGCCGAAGTCCAAAGAAATATTTTTCAATCATTAGCAAAACGGTAAATCAAGAAGTGTTGAAAAGATATATGTAAAGGACCCTGGATTAATGACTTCATATATAAAACATCAGATAAGAACTAGGGTGCGGTCACATTAATCGAAGAAAGAACAGTTGCAAATTGAAAGAATGCAGTGGCGGTAAACAAAGGGTCTATCGAAAATTTATCTGGCTGAGGATTGATTTATGAAACTAAAGATGGCGCAAAAAGAACTGATATTTGATCCAGATGATTCGTTAGTTTATGAGTATCGTGCACTAAGTGGTTAAGAATCGTAAGGATTTTTTTCCATTTTTGTACTGTTTCGTACAGTAATAGGAACCGCAATAGCTGGGCAATATCCTCACCATAATTTCTAAGAAAACTGACGTCCAACAACTGAACTGCGTGCTGCTGTACTAGAACATTACAATCCGTCTTTTGCTCGTGCGAAAACCGCGCATTCCGATTTGTGAGGTAAGATTAGAAAACATAGGAAAGAAATAGAAAGAAAGAAAGAGTACAACATCGATCGACTTCAAACCACACCCTCTATTTCACAGTCAGCGTTTTGTCAATCATCCAATTATCTCGTTGTATTAAATGTGGTATCACATGGCTAGATGTGAAGGTGACTTGTTATATTAGCACGGCGCATGCGTTGTTATTTAAGTGTATGTAGCCAATGTAGCCAATCTCCACAATTTGATAAACAAATGACATAATGTCTAGTGGGTGATGTCATCAATAATATTAATTAATGGATTGGTTCAATCATCATTTGCCTGTTTATTAACAGACGAAGAGACATGAACTGGTTTGCTCAACTAAACCTACTCAGAAAAAATATGGAAACCAATATTGACCGAATAAATACGATTCTTTTTACTATTTTACTCACTCTCTCCCAAATTTAATCCACTGCACAAAATCTTTAACCGTAACACGATAAAATTAATAGTTGTATTCCCGACTGACTTAAAACAATTGTGATATGTAATCATATCAACAGCACTGAAGAAACACGAACCAGAGCTTTAGCTAGCCTTTTACCAACTGTATTCTATCCACTTAGGAAGCTAAACTCTTGAAATAAAGGACTAAAAAAACTAAGTGTCTTTAAAAGTCTTTTACCGTTTATTTCTATACTACCAAGATGGTCGGGTTTATTTTTTCATATGAATATGAMKACCAMTATGAGATACATGATATAGAAATAGATGAGGAAAGTTTTAGTGATTAGAAGGAGGTTATTCCGGGAGAAAGACCAGSGAGGCGGGAAATTAGTTTTTCCGAATTTATTTCCAAAGGTCTTTTTCCCGGAATAACCTCCTTCTAATAAGCACTATAACTTTTCTTTATTTCTATATCATTTTTTCATATCCTTTTTTAATCGTTGCTCCTTTATTCACCTAAACATCTTGCTATTTTCTCATCATTTATTTCACATAGGATTGTCATGTTACGAGACAAAGACCGGCTACCCGACATTAAAGACAGAGTTCAACCTTTATATGTCATCATAAGAAYGGGATGGGGCTTGTCCGTGGACATCGTGGGAGACGAACATCATGTGATACCATGCACTGCCAAGGTAATAAATATCACATTACTGTAATTAAAATGCCAATTGATAAGAGTTAACACGAAATCAAAATTGCTTCACTGCAAACTATTTATACAGTCTCGGTAGTGTATTTTGCATTTTGTATTTTGTATTTTTAGAGAAATAACCAATGATTTGACTTTCGATGTTATCAATTAACATAGACGAGTTGAGTGAACTTTGAAGGAATGAGACATGCGCAATCAAATACAGTCGTGTTTGTTCCGTTTCTGTCTCTTCTTTTCAGAAATGAGACAATATTTACATTTCCATGGCCGCCTCTTGATCTTTATAGTGGCTTGCATTATGATCTCGGCGTCTAGAGTATTCTTACTGCAGGCGTTAGACATTTGGGGCAAAAATGGTACTTAGCGGGTCGATATTCCCGTAAATAGCGGGTCGATATTCCCGTAAATGCCGCCGCCCCTCGCTGAAATCTTAATCTTAAAAGATATTTTAGGACGTCTATACAGGAAATGAAATTGGAAATTTCAGTKCGCGATAAAGAGAACATCACAGTGCTGTTTGAAAAGCAGTTTATTCAAAAATCATAATTCTTGATAGCTTACAATTTATTGATAGCTCTATAATACATATTGATTGATAATTATTGGTATTTAATAATTCTGTTCTAATACCGCACAAATGATTATAATCAAATCGTTGTTATGTGTAGAAACACATTCGTCTCTTTTCACTAAATTCCTTGTAAATTAGACACTTCTTTACATACATTAGCCCCGGCCAATGATGCGGCATCCAACACTATCATGATAACATTTGAAAAGACCATGTCGTACAATAAAATAATTGTGAGCTGGTTAGTGTTGGATAGTATTAATACTTTTCTCATTTGGCTGGGACTTTAAGGAATTTTTATATACAAGTGTAAACAAAAGGCCCAAGTATCACTCACTCGCTCAGTCACTCACTCAATGTCAGTCTCTTATTTGTCATATCTGTCTTATGTTGTTAGCTGTCARTGGAGACAGACTCGACTATTGTGGACACTAAGTTGAAAGCGTCGTTATGAATATGTTCATCCGATTTCTTGTCCTGTTTAATGCTTAATATAAACGTATCAGGAAACATGCCGGTCCCTTGAGAACAACAGTTTTTGTACTTAAACGTATCCTCAAGGAAACGGCACGTAAACTGACCTGATAATGAGATGTCATACACCATTCATGTATAGCTACAATTGTCATTTCAAAAAACCTTGGCTTTTGCTCAAAATATTTTCTTATATTCTAAACATCTATATCATTCTTGCTACTTATTACACTAACAAGGGTCGATTATGGCAGCGGAAGTTTTTAGTCCTTTTCTTTCTTAAGTTCATATTTCTTTAGTTCACTAGGGATTTATTCCTGATCTACGGCACTAGGTGTCTGCGAATTACTCGGAATAGACAGTCAAGCCTCTAGGTTTAATAATAGCAATAAACTTCCTTGAAAATAGGACCATGGTCAGCTAAAGAACAATTTAATGAAGATACATGGCGTTTTTTAGTTATCTTAGAAATGCAGTTCCTTTTCTAGAACTTTCACTCGAGAATATGATGTAACAATCACGTGCTTTGACGCACGTGACTTATAGAACAATTCTAAGGAACATATTAAAGAGAATATATTGGCCATTTTTATGTTATGAAATGAATTGTAATTTCTGTCATATTGAGCCAATCGAAAAACTAACCATATCACTAAAAAGACTTTATCGACTTTAGTGTAGGTTCCAAGTTACAGATCATTTGGACAAATATTCAAGTAATGAGAAGCCGTGCAATTTACAGAGAATGTATGGGGATTCTGACCGCGTCCCCCAAAACAATACATTCTCTGTTAATTTGATGAAACTAGGAATAAATACTGTTCAGCTAGTTTTTATCCAAACGTTTTGAAACTTGGTATATATACTAATTTTTGGGTGCCCT